CACAGGAGCCAGTGCTTTTCAGTGGTACTGTCAGGTAGGCGGGACCTCATCTGACTTGTGCTGATTCCCAAAGACCATTTCACATGTATCATGTTAGGGCGTCATGCATCAGGAACTCATTGACACTAACAGTTCAACAACATCAACACTGAAATGAATCAGCACTGAACTGACTTAAGCTGAATAATGACATCACTGTCTTCTGTAGAGCTTATTTCCATCTTAACTTTACAGGTTTCATAACTGATGAATTTGACAAAATTAACACTGTTATTATCTTGTTTAAATCATTTGAAGCTGCTTTAAAACAATCTATATTGTATAAAGTGCTATATAAATGTGACTTGACATTGGGAAATGTTGACACGAGTCATGCAGATGTGTCTTAATAATCCTGCTTCATATGAATGTATTTATCTGTCAGTTTTCTTATTTAGTCATACATCTGCATTCTGTTTTGTGTTCAGATCCAACTTGGATCCATTTAACCAGTATTCAGAGGAGCAAATCTGGGATGCCCTGGAGAGGACACACATGAAAGAATGTGTAAGCTAAAGAAAACCCTTCGAAAGTGACACCATGTATAACGTTACCAGGAAGTAGAAGTAGTTTCAGGTTGCCCACTCTGTCACATAGCAGCTTGTCATTTTGTCTCTCACACCTAAGGGCAAGTATTTGTCTCCGATGACTTGTTGCTCTTGCCTCCATCTTATCATAGTTTTCCCACGGCTTTGAATCTATGTAATTCATTGTCTCGCATCTCCTCTCTGTTGTTCAGGTGTCTCAGCTGCCTTTAAAGCTGGAGTCCGAAGTGGTGGAAAACGGGGAGAATTTCTCCGTGGGTGAGAGGCAGCTGCTCTGTGTGGCCCGAGTTCTTCTGAGGCAGTGCAAGGTGAGTTAACAGCCCGACATTGAGCTTGTCTGTTAGAGAGAGCCGATCGGGATTAGCTGATAACGCAGAACAGACTTTGTCTCATTTAACTGGGTCATCCACTTAGTTTCCTCCCGATTTTTAGATCTTGATCCTGGATGAGGCCACAGCGGCTATGGACACAGAGACCGACTGTCTGATTCAGGAGACGATTCGGAATGCGTTCCAGGACTGCACCACACTGACCATTGCACATAGATTGCACACGGTGCTCAGCTGTGACCGTATCATGGTGCTCAATCAGGGCCAGGTACAGTATAGCAGTCTGATTACTAGTTTTGATGAACTATTTTAGAGTGTGTGGTGGTAGGGTCAGAAACTAACTTTTCCATTAAGGGGCAATATTGCCCCCTGGAATTGATTTCCAGGGCTTTTTTTTTTACCTTTATAGGGGCAATTTTTACAATTACCTTTATTAAATATCAGATACTTAAATGTAACCAATTAATCAATCAATCAATCAGAATGCTATTCATAGCTTTCAGTCACGTGACCGGCTCGACGACCTGGAGGGCAAAACATCCATAGAACTGCAGGACAAGCCTGTC